ACATTTTGGCAGCATTTGAATATTAAAAAAAAAAAGTGGATTAAAACTTTATAACTACTGCTGCAACAATGTGAGCATGCCTCTAAGTCATCCAGTGCTGGTCATCCAAATGGTTTCTGAGCTGACAAATGTGATAATTTCTGTACAGTCAGGCCAGATTGAAACTTGTCTATTACTTTCATTTAAGAACTTACTCATTTATTCAAAATTTATTTCCAATTTATTTATCTCATTGTCCTAAGTTAGAGATGGCCATCTCTCGGAATGGACTCACAATCGTTACTCAGCTTTTTTAATTGAAAAGGAACCATTTTTATGACCACACAAGAACTTGTGTGTCATGTAAAACTTTCCAAAAACAAAAGGTTACAAAACCCCAAAGTAATTATATAGGTTTTAGTAGTGTTTTTATTTTTTTATTGCTATGCCATATATATATTTACTTATACTTGCCTCTAAAAATTTCTAAAAATAAAACGAACATGAAAACCAATTAGGTTCATAAAATAAGAACTGGTTAAAGGAAGGGCTATTAAATGACAGAGTAAATGAAAAACAATGAAAATTAAAACAATCGTAGAAAATAGTGTATTGCCAAAATATATGTTGCTCTGAGGTTGTTCATTTCTAGAGCTAGTCACTGATCCTTGAGGATGCTGAGCAGTCCTGTAAATTCCTGAACACATTAAACACTGATTTTCACAGGCACCAAAAATATTCAAAACACAGTAATTTCCTGGATTATATGTGAATGAGAGGTTACTGGATCAGAAGAATCAGCCTCAGGGCACCATATATGTTATTATAAAATGTTTTAAATATAAGAAAAGAAGCAACAAAATAAAGAGATGACACTTAATTTCCAGAATTTAATACTGAAATCAAGGTGATACGTAACTAGAAAGTCCAACCCACTCTCTTGAAAAAAATGGGTCAGATACAAACATGTTATATACTACAACAATGTGCTGGCCTTTGGAATGAGTCTAAATGTACACAGCAAGGCTATCGGAACGATGCCGAGTTGTTTCCACAGCATGAGGCAATTATATATGCAAACATACGAGAAAGTTTAGTTCATCTTGAGTACATTATTTTAAGCATTCACATTCAAGTATTCTTTTACACTGTCCAACTCAGATGGCTGTTGCCATGCAGTCAGAACTGCAACAAGATCTGATTTTACATTAGCGCTAGCAGTTTACACTGTTTCAGATCAGCCCTCAAACAAGGCTGAGCTTCTTCAGTTTAAGAATTTTCTACAGTGGGTTTTCACAGGTCCCGTTTCAATCGTGCTTGAAATCCCATTGAAATCAAATCCTTGTTAGCATCTTAGCAGAGCTGTAGATTTCCCAGGCTCACTGCCAGTGTTAGAAAAAAGTACAGGTGGAATGGCACAATTCAGAATGTCGAAAAAATGTTAAGAAAAAGATTTTAAAATACTGAATTTGGAGCATAGAAATTTAGACAAAACTAATGAAATAGGAATAACTCAGTAGAATCAAAACAATAAAATTAATTAAAATCTAAGAAATTTCCCTGGACACCCTGCATATTCACTGTTTCATGTTGAAAATGGGAAATCAAGCTCAGAAATATATTGATACTGTAATACATTAATGACTTGCACAAACAAACCACAAAAAAGTGGAAAAGACCAGAAACAGGCAATACGTAGTACACTAACAGTCTGCTGTGCAGTAACAGAAGACATCAAACATGAGCCTTTTTTATCTAGTGAGTATTGCATGAAAAGCTAAGAAATGACAGTGCCAGCTGCTGGCTGTGGTGTGTACTTTTTCCTGAAGAAAACTGTCTCCAGAATATTTTCAGGACAACTGTGTGAATTACTAAAATGACAGTGTTCTTCCCAGCTGAACACTCAGCAGTGATCAGTTACAAGAAATGCTGTCAACACCATCCATACAGTGCTAAATAAATACCGGGACATCATCTACTGTCATAGAAGTACATTTGAGATATTTTTCAGTCTCTTCACAATCAAGTACATTTTGCAGTTGTTACAGAAAGCTATTCTAAATGACTGGTCTTTTTACACTCCTCAGATATTACGCTTGTCTACACCAGCACTACTATGAATGGAAATAGTGGGCAAACTGTAAATACTTGAGCTGAAAGTCTAAATCCAAACTTTTATGGAAAAAACCCCAACCAAATAAAACCAAACAAAAAACACAAACCAAGGAAACAAAAACCAATTCCCAAAACAAATTAGAGGTAGCTTTTAAAAAATCTGCTTCATGAACTGTAATTATACTTTGAGAAATGTCTCAGTGGAACATTGCATTTCTGTGCTCCCTGTCAGCTCAGGTGCCTTCAGTTCACAGATCCATCGCCCACTCAGAACTGAGCCAAGTCCATCTGAAATCTAAGGGTCAGACTAAGGTCCTTCTGCTCACACATTATCACACCACTCCTCCATCGTTCCTTCCAGTGATGCAGTGAGTCATGAGATTCTTGTAGTTTAACATAAAATCAGGAAGGAATTTTAAAGTGAATCAGCTGTAAAATTATTTTGATTGTGTTTAATCTTTGAGATGGCAGTGTAGGATTTGCAGCTTTATAAAGAAATCTGAAGTCTTTAATGAGGGCTAATTGTGTATGCTTGAAGATACTCTGCCATCTTAAAAAAATCTAAAAGAATACATTTGTTTTCTATATTTGGTTGAAATGCATTTACAATAGGTATTACTATGCTTACCAAATAGATGAGAACCAAAAAAGATTAAAAACTATATACATTACTATTTCTCAACAGCAGCTACTGCCACTGGTTGATGCTGTCTGTGCCAATGCAAATATGCTCTGCAGGGAGAGCTGTGTGGGCACAGAAGCAGCAGCAGCAGTCTTATCCACTCACGTCTGCCAATACTTTGTGATCAGCACCACATCCAGCCAACCATGAAGTCCCCAAACTCTTGCAGAAACACAGCTCATGTAGCTATGGGGGCAAGAAGGGCTCTGGGCAGTGGCTGCTTAAGCTCATGGAGATGCCAAAAGAAATCCTTCTCAAACCATGGCCTCAATAGAGACCAGCCTGACTGCTGGTGTGAACAACATGCTGAAAGCCAAAACCGGTGTTCTAGGCAGATCTTATGCAATTTGTTTTGGTTTTGGTTTTGTTTTAACTCATTCTGGAATACCTGGAACAGATCACAGTTTTTTTATTGGAATAATAATTTCTATTCCATGCTCCTGGGCAACTTTATTATCCTGGTATTCACAGTTCCAAATCAAGGTACTGGATAAATGGAGTAAAGGGTATTGTTTCTACTACTGACTGAAAAGAAACCATTTGCTAATAAAATCCACCAGGGCAAAAGAAAAAAGTCTAGCAAGTTGCTTATAAAAAAAAATTAAGAGAAAAGGAATGTTATTAACCAGCTCATAAACTGTGACTACTGTAGAAAAGCATGCAGGCTAAATATCTTAAAAACCAAAAAGAAAACTCAAAGAAAACACAAGCAACTAATTATATCTACAGCTTTCTCTGATTCATCTATTCGTTCATACAGGGAAAATATGCTAATATTTGGGATCTGCTGCATCATGGATGTTTCTGGAAATCTGGATTCTGAGGATGACAAACAGGTAAGATCTTCAGCAGGTGGAAAATGCTGACCTCACTGGCTGAGTCGGTGCGCTCCCTGAGTGGCTGGGTTGGATCCAAGTCTCACCTTCCGCAGACTCCCTTTTTGAGGTCTCAAGAAGCATTAGAGGGAAGAGGCACTTTTCTCTGAAATTTTATTTTGACTAGTTAAAGAAATATGTAAGTATGGGAAGCACCTGCGTATCTGCTACAGAACTGGTATGTATTTTGTTATCTTTCATTTATAATTTTTGTGATGCAGAGTTCCTTGTTAAAACCATCAGGTCAGATAGAAAACAGGCAAAAAACCAGTAAAGGAAAGCGATCTTTCTGTTGTTCAAACACCTGTATGTGTAATGGCCAAGGTAAAAATTTTAGTGAAAAGACGGAGTTTTCCAAGTACTTTAAGAGTAATTCAAATTTTAAAAACATTTACTGCAGAATGGGAAAAAGCAAAAGGAATAGGAAAAAATACTCTATTTTCCACAGCACAGAAAGCTTTACTTTCTCTATGAAACCTTCTTCTGTTACCGCACGAGATATGAGATATTTTAGCATCACGCTAAAAACCAAACCTCCCACAGAAAAAAAAACATTATTTGTTAAACTGAGCCATGAAAACAGCTTACAGAATCTACAATTATCTTGGTCAAGATACCTACAAAAACCACTGGGCTTAAAGTAAAATCATAACAGATGCTTAATTCCTTTTTTATACATAAAATGTTTTAAATATTTTCTGTACATATACAGAAAAAAATACTTCTCATTTTCTCACTATGCTGTGTGCATGTGCAAGTATATGGGTATAGAGATTTATAATAACAGCTTGTACAAACATCTACATCAATGTCTCAGTCTTTGATTCCAGGTTAAAGCATACTTTTCTAAAAAGGGATTTTGGGGAATGAAGTTTACATTTTCTGTATTTCTTGATGACAGCAATTACTTTTTAGTGCATGAACAGTTGCTACTTACATTAACTTCTGTTATAGCAATATCAACGACGCTACCAACAACAATTAAGGCATCAAAAGTGTTCCATGCATCAGTGAAATAGTGCTGTTAGGACAAGCATTCAGCAGAAAGAGAGCGAGAGAAAAACACAAACAGAAAAAGAGAAGAAAAGGACAGTGTTATAACACAGAAACACGCTAGGCTTCTCTGATGTACCACTGTACAATCTAATCTTTCCCTTTCATAGCTAAAAAATATTGGTAGATAAAAAGGCTATTTATTTCCTATATCAACATAATTGGCCTATGACTGGTCTGTGCTCAAACTTTAGAAACATCAGATCAAAATCTGTGACTTGTCCAGATGATGGAAATAGTGGGGAGACAGAGAAAGAGAAGTAGGGACTGGGGAAAGTAAGCTGGGGTATACTCACATCAGCTTCACTGAGAACGACGTCTACTATGCTGCCAATAACGATGAGGGAGTCAAACGTATTCCAGGCATCACTAAAATAGCCCTGAACAGAGCAGGCAGGGTGCAAACGTTTGTGATTACACATGAAATGTCAAATATTTGCATACTTCTGTTTAGTTTTGCATAAACAGAAATTAATTAAACAAAACCTGTGGTCTAATGAGAAAATAAAACAAAACAAACAATATTGCCTACTGAAGGAAAAGCAACATATATGTGCATGTGTGTGTATATATATATACTTTATATATATACATGTACAGACACAGACAGACACACACGCGCGCACACACACAGAGTACACATGCATAATACACCATTGTATAAGCACAATGTTGGCAAGCAAGCCATCATCCAAAACTTATTTTGGACTTCTAGCAAGGCTGAAAAACTCTGACACATATACCTGTTCAAGAATGACAAAACTCCTTTAATATTTCTACAAGCCCAAGCCAATTGAAACCTCCTTAACATGAATGACTTGATGGTAGTCCTATTTAGGCAAATGATAAAAATATTCAAAGTGTCAAAGCTCATCACTGGTTAATCATGCACAAATGTGGAACTGTGAATAAATATTAGACAATCGACTTAATCTTCTATTAATAAACTAGGTTTCTTATAGGAACTCACACTACATTTGCAGTGAGGGCCTGATTCTGTAACCAGTGAAGTCAGTGTTAGGAACCATAGTAACCTGAACAACTTCTTCATGATTTTAATGCAGCCAGTCCAATGTTTGAAAACTCTTTCTCATAAACTGCTTAGCCACTCCTCTGAAATTTTATGGTTTTAAGTTTCTTCCCTATGTGTATATGTTACTGGCACACTGCTGCAAATGGTTATGAAGTGCTATCATTCAATCAGCTGTCTACTGGCATCAAAACTGCATGTTTGGGCAAAAAGATATTTCAGAAGATACACATTCATTCTGCTTTCCTGTCAATGAATTTAAAAATACTAAGTCAGCCACTACTGAAGCTCTAAAAAATTAACTTAGCAAAAAGTTTAAAATGAAATGTGCGCTAATCTAACCTTATGTCTAGTTACACTTCTTATTACACTGTTTACTATAAGATGATGTTTTAGCTCAGTAGTTTAAGTTGTTATAGGTGATTTTAGCACAAAAAAGCAAAATCAGCTACAATTTTTTTGAAACTGGTCAATATTTTTCTCAACATTTTAAACTGGTAGAGTTTCTAGTAACTTCACAGTTTTAAGGTTACATTTGAGAGCATCATTATTTGGAAAAAAAACCCCAACTAATTTCATGTGGAAATTTGCTCTTGAAGACTATGAGAGCACTGTTACAGAAGACGACAGCTCTACAGTGCATTCCAGGCAAGCAAGCCTTGAGCAGAGTCGGGAAAGCCTCATCATGTTGCTAATGCTCTTTTAGCCCTTTTAAAACACAAGTTACTATAATCATTCCCTCATTTAAGGAAGCGACTGCAAGAGGAACCTAGATCAGAGTATAATTATCACTACAGCCCTTTGTGCCACATGCTTTGGTTCTTTGGGATTAATCATCAATTGCAGTCCCGGGGCAAAAGCCGATATTGATGGTGTGGCCTCCTGAAGAAAAGCATCCATTCCAGAGAGCTCCTGTACAATTCCCTATCACTCCTTCCTTACTCATCCTGCTTCAGAAGAACAAGCCATTCCCAAAGTTTCTATTAAAATCATGCTGAACCACCTCAACGATACTGAATTTTATAAGCCTAAAGAGATTAGCAGCTGCCAACTTCAGAAGGGGAGCTACTCTCATAATATTCTCCCTCATCACACATATTCCCTATTTCTCTTATTTAAAAGAAGTACCTTTCTTGTTTTCAAAATAGCAGTATTTCTATATTCACATTACTGGCAAACAGATAATCAGCACAATCCTGAGGTGTGCCATCCATCTTCCTCTACAACAACGGGAACCGAAAAAAGGTCCTCCAAGTAAAGGTAAATTTCAGCTATAGAAAAAGTGACTCTACGAGACATGCTACAATATAAGGCACTGGAATAACAAATTCACATTTTGAGTCAATACAGCTAAAATACTAAAATAAATGTGTACATTTAATTATTTTATGAAACCTTTTCCATCAGTAAAGACAAATATTGTTCAAAGTAATATGTAAAGCAAAAGCATACAAATAAACAAAAAAAACTAAGAGAAAATAAAGATGGTTTTGGAAAAGGGAGGAATGGACAAGTCACAGCAAATAAACATCATGCAAGTAAGTTGTTTTCACCACTGCAATGACCCAATATCAATTAACTTACTAGCCATCTTTCCTTTTTTCTTACAAAAATCTGATGCAAACGACACGGAAAATCATTACAAGTTTAAGTAACAGCTAGCTATCATGATGCTGCACATAAGGTATGTGTTGATGTATTATTTCAGATTTCATAGCTGTGTTTTGTTTTCTACTGTACTAAACCATACTAAGTAACAGATTTTAGCAAATATGAAGAACAATGTGGAGAAAAAAGGCCTGCTCTTTTAACCTACATTATGAAAAATTTGTTCATTGAGAAATGCTGAAGGATAAAATCACAAATCCTGGGGAATATGTAGGCATAAAGAGTTAACACCAAAATATTTTTCTATAGATCTACCACATAAGTATTTTAGTCCTTTTAGTACTTTAATTGAGATGTTTAGGGCCTCATTCTGCAAAGTACTGTGTGTTCCAATCTCCCAGTCAAGAAGTGGGCCAGACACTAAGCATCACCTTTAACATCTATCACTTATCCAAGTTGTATATTTGAAAGCCAGAAGGCAGTCTGCAGTACCTTGGTTTTAAACAACACAACGTCATAGTAAGAGTATCAATAATTTATAGTAGCCTTGATTTTGCATGACCAATGAAACCAAAAGGTCACAGTTTTCATGGGATTTTTGTCAACATATTAAGGGGACACTGTCAAGCAGATGAAATAAAACTAACATGTTTTTATCTATTATCTTTTTACAGAGGGAGTAATGGGTTTTTTTATTTGATGCTTTAGGTATCTTTGAAATAATTTTTAAACCGCCCAAAATTAATAAATAAAAGAACCTGTCGATTCTGCCAGACTAGACTAAGAAACCCGCCAGTGACACAAACATAGAGGAAACGAATCAGTCTTTCCTCACGAACCCTGAAGCAAAACATTGAGTTCTAGATTGTTCCTACTATTATTAAATCTTAATATGAGCTAAAGCAATTAATTGTTGTTTTAAGCATATACGTAGTTTAAAATTTAGATCACTACAAGACATTCACATTCTGCTTAGGACTGCTGGTTGACTCGCTGTTATTAATGAACTATGTAATATATGAGCTAACGCGCGTTTTGTTAAAGAGTATCTGACAATGTAAAAAGTTACAATCTTCAAGGAATAACAGGAACAACTTTAAAGATATCTAACTCCTTTCCCTTCTTACTAATTAATCTCTGCCAAAAGTCTAATTAATATAATGGCCTTTTAACCTTGTCCTGTTAATTAACAATTTTAAGGTGTTCTGCATCTATGGGGGAACAAAATTCAGGAAAGGAGGACCTTTTACTACCAGTGTAGTACTAGCCCTTCTATCTCTCAAGGTTCAGATCCAGGGGCGTCTCACAGTAAAAGCATCCAATCAGATAGAAAACATGTTGCAACAAAAGTAAAACTCAAATTGTACAAAGTCTTAGAGACCAGTATTAAGACACTGCATTTGATAACAAGTAGGAAGTCCATAATACAAATGGAGCGCTGTGATTTATACAGTCATGATCAGACCAATATATTTTGCATTAGCTGCTATTTCTGACTACAGTCACAAGTGCATGGAGAACCATACAAGGATTCACAATCTTCTTTCGAAGAGCAGATGATAAAATGCAGCAAATTCTTTTGAAACTTCAGTGTGAAACACAGATATAGAACAGGAAATACAAATCAGGAAACACAACCAGTATACTCATGACACTGAGGTCCCACATGTCTGAGCTACCTCCTCTGGGGCCTCATATTGTGTTATATTTAATGTGAAATCCTTGGCATTTAATTAAGATAGGTGACACAAAAATACAAATAAATTCATTAGAAAGGTACAATGGACTGGACAGTGCAGAGCAAGACTATGGGAGTGGGTAAGCATTCACCCAGAACTCCACACTTCACATCCCAACACCAGAACTCATACGATGTATGATTTGTTTACTTCTGCAGGCAAATACAGGCTAGCTTTCAACCAAGTAGCTCAGGCTCCACAGTAAAGCTCGTGACTAAATGCAAGCTGAATAAATAGTTCTGAAAAGCTGGAAAGTAGTTAATCATCTGCTCCATGCTGAGTTCTGGACAGCCATGACTATGTTGCTTGTTTAAAGCAGGAATAAGATTGCCCACACAGCCTAGAGTCATCCAGTTCACTACTTAATACCAAAAAAAGGGCACAGTTCACAGCCAAATACAGATGCAGATATCCTGATTACTTTAAAAGAGGAGCAATGGAGAAACACCATCCTTAGATGGTGAGATCAGTAAACTTCAAATGGCGTGACTGGCTTTTTTCAATACATACATAATGAGCGAATTACACTCATGCTAATGTATGAATTACATAGATATAGGCTCAGAATGAACATTGATTTCATTGTACTGAAAACAAAACTGAGTTTAGTTTTTCTTTATTAACTCTTGCACTGTCATAAATGGGGTATGAGAACTGAACAAAAAGCCTGCACTGTCAGTGTCTGACTTTCATCTTTTTTTCAATTAGTCATTATAGTTATCAGTTTCTCTTGCAAACCTACTTTTGAAAATGTGTCTGCATTATTCATTTTGACAGTGTCCCTTTAAGGCAAGGAATCAACTGCTCACTGTGGGGCTTTCTACCAAATAGCTTGTATGTATAACTGAAAACACAGAATTCTAAAAAGGCTACTGAATATGCAAATTACGCATGTGTATGTTTGTAGTACTTGGCTATATTTGCTAAATAAAGAAATAATTTTGCATTTTAGTATAGGAAATAAAGCATAACACACAGGTCTTTACTGGAGACTAACTTAGTGTAAAGTTACGAATGTTGTGCCATGAATAGCAGAAATGGCAATGCTTGTAACAGAAATTTTTTATCAAATTTACAAATGGACATTTCCATTATCTCAAAATATTTCTGATCTCATCAACCACCTGGTCGTATTTTTTCTGATATCTGCATTTAATTTCCTGGAGTTACATTTATACTTACTATCAGATTAACATTTCTATTATGATTTCACTGATAGATAAACGTGGGAAATGTGGGTTCTTTTTGTTCTTTGAATACATAGCTAGCGTGAAACTTACGTTACACTTAATTCCTGTGGAGATGACCTAGTTAAATCATATCTAAAACTTACCTTGGGTTTGAATGCAATCAGTTTCAAAACCATTTCAACAGTGAACACTCCTGTGAAAACCATATTCATAATGTCCATTGCATCATTAAAGAGCTTAGACTGTCCATAGTGCTGTGAATGAAAAAATATAATACTTTTAGAAGTAAAGGCTTCAAAATATTAAGTGCAGTATGTCAGTCACAGAGTAACACATATTGTGTAGGAGTGACTTTTTTAAGAGGATACACTGCATGCAAGTTTACTGAAAAAAGTAGAATGGTTTTGTAAACTGAATTTGAACCATTCTTTTTCTTATTAAAATTTGAAGTACTAAGGAAAAGAAAGAGACAACTTGGCAAAGTAGATAAGAGGAGTATCTCATGAAGAACTGCATACATAATGTAGAAAAATTAGAATAAAAATATATATACACACAAAAAAACCCACACATGCAAAAATACACAGAGGTATATATAGATATATAGCTAATATATGAAAACATGTTTGTGTGAGGTTTGCATTATCACACAGTATTGCCCATATATTAAGTTTTTAAAACTTCTTCAGAAGATAGAGAAGATAGAAATATCTCAGAATGGTTTGGGTTGGAAGGGACCTTTAAAGATCATCCAGTCCAACCCAACCAAATATGGAGTAGTACATATACAAAATAAACACAGAACAAATACGGAAACTACACAGAGGTGAAGTGATGCTTAAAGACACTGCATAAAGGAATGTATGAGATAAAAGAATCTAAGGCGTTGTGAGAAATGTTTGCTAACACAATTAGATCTTTATGTTCCTTCAGATTTTCTTGTACATGGATTGTTTTGGGAACACACATATAAAATAAGTTCCGTTACACTGTAGGTACAAAATAAAGCTCAAAGAGCTTGATAAGGTTAGGAAGATCTTTGTTTTAAACAATTTAACTTCAAAGAACTGATGAACAGATTAGAACGTGTCACAGAAGACTACCATGATCAGAGGTGGGTTTTTTGTGGCTATGTTTTGTTTTGTTGGGTTTTTTTTTAATTTCACTTCATAAAAAATACAGGTTGCCATAAATGAAAGGCATTATATCACCCGTTCCTTCACTGCAATTGATGTCAACAGCTTCAAAAGAACAGTTTTCCTACCTGCATAGCCAAGCAAAGTGTGTTCAGCATGATGAGGACAAACATGATGTATTCAAATCCAGTAGAATTCACCACATACCAGAATTTGTACTGGTAAGGATTTTTTGGAATATATCTACGAAGTGGACGTGCCTTCAAGGCATATTCTACACACTGACGCTGTAAAAGCAAATACATCAAAAATTATCAGTCTACACTTAACAGTTAATCAACTGATAATATAATTAGTAAGTGCAAATTGTTAAATACAAGTCTTAAAAACAGGCAGTCTAGGTCCTTGATACAGAGGTTTTATTATTAAGTGTTAATAATAATCAAGTAAACAATCAAGTAGTTTACCAATCCTCACTTGGTTATTTACAACTGCATCTAACCATATACACTACCTAGCCACATACAAAGAATAAAATAATGCTCATGGAAATTCTGAAGTGCTTCATCTTCATGCAGTGTAGTCGCATACAGTAGCACACTGCAGAGTGTATGTACGTATATGTATAGCATACAGCATGACTATTAATTCATCTATAAGTCATGCTTTGTCTTTACTAAGTTTTCAACCACCAATGTAACTGCATAGCATAAAAATCCTAGAGTCAGCAAAATAAATACTGAGGGAAAGTTATTTTTAATAGTTCAGTTAAATTGCCTCAGCAAGATCATGTCACATACGTAGGAAGATCATGGATTAATCTCCTACTCTATTAGTGCCTGAAATCTTCCACTTGTCTTTTGAAGAATGCTTATAAAAGCTGACTGGCAGGGCACCAAACGCAGAAAGAATGCTAGTCAAAGTTTCATGCTTAATGTTGTTTCAATTAAGTGTGTTACAGTTGGACAAGAGCATCTCAAAAATCATGACAGGTAACTGATGAGTTTCTCAGCCAAAGGATTAAACAGGTTTTTTTTACTTGCATCTGAATATGCCCTGTGAATTTCTAATTAGTGGTGGGGAGGAGGGAGGGAGAGTAGAACATTTTGAACACTTTCAGACTATTCAGAAGACAAAACTTATTTTCCTGTTCTTACTGTAAAACTCATCTCTGCCTATGGATAAGATGGCGAGTGCTGAATTATTCTTGACATGAGACCAGCAAGTGAGATACTAAGAAGCTATGAAGCTTCCTGTAACATCTCTCGCCAATATGAAAGACCAGTATGTTTGGCTTAGTGAAAGAGGAACATACAATCACCTGAATACCAGCTGACAGTATGTACCAATTCCATTTCTTTACTAAGATATGTGTTTGGTGCCCTCTTCCGACCCAAAGCAGAAAGGAAGCTCTTCATGAATAAACAAAACAAAACAAAACAAAAGAATACTTCCAAAAGTTAAGTTCATTATTTATTTTAACCTGATTTTTGTCCAGCTCACAGTTCTTATACTCTTGTTCTCCCTGTTCTTGGAAAGTAACGATCACAAAACCAACAAATATGTTCATCATAAAGAAAGCAATAATGATGATATAGATGATGAAAAAAATGGAGATCTCCACTCTATAGTTGTATACAGGTCCTACATTCTCGCCATTTGAATCAATGGCTTTGTATAGCAGCCTGAAAAACAAACAAAATTTTATCTTTATTAGCATTAAAATGACAAAAGAGAGTAAAATCTGCAGACTCAGAGGACAGATTCCAGAAATGGAATCTGCTGTTTGCTGTTCTCTTTTTCTATTACTGACAGTGCTTACAAGCATATTGAAAGCAGAAGAACCAGACCACACAATGTTCTATGTTTTTTCCCAAAAGAATCAAGGTAATGACCAGATAGTTGTATCTTTCATTCTCCCCACCACCTCCTCCTACACGTAAAGCTATCCTCTAAGACTTCTCATTTAAGGAAATAGCGTGTGGTAGTTTGCTCTTCCTGGGCACTTCCCATGCAGTGTACTATTGCCTGATTTTGGAGTAAGAGTTTTACTTAAAAGCCAAAAAATTTCATTCTAGTATTAAAGGGCGTCAATGGATAAACATCTAAAATTATTACTTCTATCAGAGCTAAGAATAGCTCAATATATAAAAAGTAGCTGAAAGATTAGGAATCGAGCAATATAAAAAGAAGTTTGCCCTTTGTAGATAGAGGTGAATGAAGAAATACAGGAAAAGAGCACAGATTCCAAAGGATAATACATTTTTTCCTTCCTCTATTAATAAGTTTTTGTGCCATTACTTAAGACTGCTTTGTTGCCCCAAAATGCCTGGTAACTGATGAAGAACTGTTCTGGAAAATGTAACCGTTTTAACAACGCTGTGAGAACATGGAGAATCCACTCACGCTGGCCAGCCTTCAAAAGTGGATACTGTAAAAAGGGCCATCATAGCTGACAAAACGTTATCAAAGTTGAAATCACTGTTTTGCCAGACCCTCTCTCTGACCACTGGATTATCAACATCTCCATCTTTATAAACGATGTATATCCCTCTGTAGGAAAAAAAATGAATTGTTATTAGTTAAATATTAAATCAGCGTCAGGGTTACTCAATGCTCTGTTCAAAACAGTGTATTTTACTCCCTCCCTAACCTTGTTTTATTTCCTTGCTAATCTGTGATTACTGGTGGATTTAAAATGGTAATTCCAGTTCACACAAACCTAAGTGGCCTGCCCATATCTGCTACAGTTTAAATTATTAAAAGTATAATATGCCGTTCTTAGGTCAAAGATGTTCTCACCGGCA